TTCATGCATGGTTGCATGCATGTTTTCATGCATGGTTGCATGCATGGCTGCACGGTCCAATTCATTATCCAATTCAAATCGGTTGTCCCAGATTGACTCACCACCCATTCATGCTTCGGATGCTCTTGTGGAACGATCCATGCAACTGGATGAGTTCTTGTGGTAATAAGAGGCTATATATAGAAGAAACAACTCTTCCGCAGCAAACAGCTGGTGGGGATCCTAGCTGTTTCATGGCCTTTGAATCGTGCTTTTTTGCGTTATCGATGATCATTTGTTGTACATACGTGTTTACGTTTTTGCTTGCGCGTGTATGTGTGAATACGCGAAGGAACACACACCTCCACTGAAAACGCCTTGCAGCATGTGCCCTGAAGTGATGTGGATTTCTGCAGATCTGAACACAGAGTTCAAGGTGGGAGTTATGCAGCTATAACTAACCAGAAACCAGGAGCCACTGCATACCCGTTACCTAGGCAGTATTGTCCAGTCCCGAATCCCTATTGTACATGGTTACCTGTCACCAGCCTCGACTCAGGCTGTGAAGTCCTATGGCCTCCACAAAACCATCCTCAAGGGATGCGGATGGCTAGGGGTACCCAGGTCGGAAGAGCAGGGAGGGCCCTGAGGCCCACGGACCCGACGGCGCGTGGACCCGGTGTTTCGGGTCGGATCGGACATGTCCAGGGGAAGCCTTGGAGAAAGATACATCAACCTGGACGCACTACTACTATTACTACTACTACTACTACTACTACTACCACTGCTACTGCTACTGCTACTGCTACTTTACTGCTACTGCTACTACCACGACTACTACTGCTACTACTACCACTTCTACTACTACCACCACGACTACGACTACTACTACTACGACTACTACCACGACTACGACTACTACTACTACTACTACTACTACTACTACTACTACTACTACCTGCTACCTGCTACCTGCTACCTGCTACCTACTACCTACTACCTACTATTACTCCTACTACTACTACTACTACCACCACCACCCTATAACAATTTGGTGACCCAGGACCCACAGTCAGCAAGAGGTTTCAGACAATAAATTTCCCCTATACAACATTACAAAGGGCAGTGGTTTGCCAAAGGATTGAAGCAGAGCTGAGTCGACATAGTTACAAGGTGTTGTAGTCACAGTTTTACAGCATGCAGACCGCAGACCTTGTCCTTTGTCATTCGGGAGTCATAGGTACCCTACATTCATTTTGAAATCCATTCCACATATACACGTATTTTCCACAACCCCTGAAACATTCCACCCCTCCACAAATTACAAAGAAAGCAGGTCCAACCCCCAGACCGTCCCAGACCCCCATTCTTTTGAACGGGAACCCTTCGCTGCCCAAATGCAGCAAAGTGCAGTGCGCGCACAAACACGCCGAAGTCGTGTCACAAGGGTGGATCTACAGCGAGTGTTTGGATGCGGCCGAGGTTTGGGTTAGATACAAGACGTGATCACTGCCGGAAAACTCCTCAGGCCCTAAACTCTAGGTGAGAGTTATTAACCCAACAGACTTGAACCTCAAGCCAAGTGCAAGAATAGACTTGTAGAATCAGGGGCCTCTAGAGAAGATGAGTTGCTTCGAGCCGACTCGAGCCCGAGTCGTAGAGACTCTGTACATTAGGCCTTGCTTCCCGGTGTGCTTCTATGTGGAACACCGTATTGGCCACCTGTGCCTTGGCATCCTTGACCGTTTGGAATGACAAGAGGAAGTCACCAGCCGAGATCGCTGGGATGTGTAAAGTCTTTCTTGTGGTATATGATACATCCTTTTTACGATGTCCAATGACTGACCCATACACTCCATGTATGGAATATATGCCTACATTGACCCCCTAAACCACCCCAATGTATAGGTAGATATGCCAGACATGGAGTGCCTAGAATTTGCTGGTATCCACAGAACAAAAAGATGACTCAGCTGGGGTGAGTGTTCAGAATTTAGCAAATACAATGAACATGAAGAGTCTTGCAAGTGTGTTTGTTTTGTTTTGTTGCCCTCCATGCAACAACCATGGAAGTGGAACATGGCCCCTTGGAAGACTGAATTCCTCTATGAACAGGCTGTATTCCACTTTCATGATTGTTTCAGGGTAGGGAGGGTAACAGTTTTTGGGCTTTATGGAGGTGTGCCTTCCTGAAACACCGTGGGAGCACTTCTAGCGTCGCACTTCGTCGACTAGGACGGATGCTCTTGGACGACTTGGATGGTGGACGTTGCTCGTGGCTCGTGGTTTTTCGGGGGATTTTCGGGGTCCAGGCCTTACAAGGCTCTTTAACACAAGAAACCATTGAACAATGCTGAATGGTTCTTGAATGACATGTAACGCTGAATTGAAGTTCGTGCTGGCAGGTGATGATGGATGTTCCAACTGCTGTAACTCTGACTTGAGATCTCCAGTCTTCAGCAGCGCGTTGGGCGTGCACTTGGCTTCCATCCTGGCGCAGTTGGCTTTGTTTGGACACCGAGCGGGACCTGCTCAGGCCAGTGGTGTACCAGCATGCTCACAAGATGTACCTTGGAGATCGATGCTCGAAGTCGGTTCGACATCTTGAGGGGCGCACAGAGTGACCGCAAGTCGTGTGTAGGAGTGAACGGAACATGTTTTAGTATAAATGTTCTTATTCCCTTTTCCTTGTGTTCTTTATTTTTATTTAAATGATTCTAGATTTATTGTATTTCTATGTAGTTTTGTTTATTCCTTATTTTCTTGGTGGCATTCACTGGGGGCCTTGGGCGTGGATCCAGGGAGGCGATTTTGCCTCGGAAGTGAAGTGTATCTAACACTCCGGGATTCTAACCATTTTAAGGGTCCTTACCAAAGAACCGTCCGGATATGTAAGAGTTTAAACTTCAAAACAGGTCAATCAAACAGCCATCCTATTGATTTTAGCTTCAAGACCAGGGCAACCATGTGTTTAAATGGTCAATCATATATGTTGGGATCTTGATTGGTCGGCCGTACATTCGTGTGATTCTTCATGGCCAGCAACGGTCTCGGGCGCCGGTTTCGGGGTGCATCGGGGAGTTTCGCGTTTTCCCACTGTGTGTAAATTTATAAACCAGAATACACGATAAGTTCAGGGCTAAACAACCGTAAAAAAGTACAAGCAGTCAATATCCAAGACCTTTTCCATCTATGTAGTATCTTCTTCCGCGCTAGGTGTGGCTTCTTCATATGTCCGTGGCCATTGAATGCGCAACAACCAGAAAGTAAGCATAGAAGTGAAGCTTCGAAGCAAAGCTCATTGGATTGGTTTAGGAAAATCCAGAGGAATCACCCGAACCCCAAAACCATAGATTTGTCCAAGGCCTGATTGTTCTTTAAACCACTCGGCGACGCATGTATACCGTGCCGACTGTCGTGACGAAGCAAGCCATGCAGCAATGGGTGGCTGAGGCATCACTACTTGCACGATACCACCGCCTTTGATGCCCACATCTATGGGAGCGGTATGAACGAGGCGGAGTCGTTCACGCGGTTACGGCGTTGGTGACGTGGCGTCGCGTCGCCACTGCCGGCGGAGTCGTTACCACCGGACCGTCCGAGACCTCCGTATATAGAGACCTCCATAGAGACCATCCGGAGACTCACATGTCGGAGACTCGCCTCACAGCCGATTGGTGACAATACCCAGACATGACCCATGGGACTGGCATAGGACTTCCGATCAGGCCAGGGCTCGGCCATGAGGGTGCCATGTAGGTAAATATGCCATGGGTCATGTCTGGGATAGGTCGAAAAGTCCAAAAGGGCGTCTCGCTTTGAGTCCGACGGTCGTCGCTTGGGTCGCGAATTCCGAGCTTTTGGGATGAGCAGGATTCAAGCTGATCCAAGAGAGGTTAAGTGACCTTATAGGACCTCACTGGGGTACCTATGGGATAGGCTATAGGGTCCTTCAACCTTTTTTGGATTCGTGTTTGCGAGGTTCAGAAGCTTGCTTGGCAGAGTTGGATTGTGCCCCAAGTGGCTCCCGAAAGAGACAATGATGAGATACAGAAATCCCTTAAATCAAAACATGAGTTTGTTCTTCTTGTATTTCTTGTGGACATCGTTTCTTTTTGTATGAGGGCAACCAGATACTGATACACCCGCGACCTCGCCGCTCGCCAGGAGTTCTTCTGGATTTGGGCCGAAGTGCTGCCGTGCCGCATGCACGCACAGGGAGGCGAAAGAAAAGGGAAGCGGCGAAAGAAGAGCTTTTTGGTGGAGAAAGTGAAGGAACTTCCTACTAGCTGAGTTTGGAGATGTTTGGAGTGTGCATTTAAGTGCAAGCCTATAGCATTTAAACATTTGATGACGCCTGATGACACCTGAATCATACTTTAAAAGTTCACTTCGAGGAAGAGGCTGACTGTGCCTTTGCCTGATGTTTACAAGTCATGGGAGAGACCAATCACATCAGTAAATATCTGCAATTGAGATCCGCAACTGAGCAGTCCACACCGTTTGGGACATCGGGTGGATACCAGGAGGGTACAACCGATGAACAGTTCTGAGGTAGCATTTGGAGCCCCAAGGAATGGGTACAGGGGTGAAGTGACTCTCTAACTTGCCCAGAACAATTCCAGTTCCGCAGGAAGACAGTGTCGACGGAACCGCCAATGGAAGTTATGTCTTTTGGGGATCCCTTAGATACTGTAACTCTTGCTCGCCTAGAGGCTTGTGGTGTAATAACGTAAAACGTCGAGGTATCTTGCTTGCTTCTCTACAAATGGTACCTGGTAGAAGGTACAAGATGGTCGAAGTGGTGGAGAAGGTGAAGACAAGAACTCAAGAATCTTCAGGCCCCTAAGCATCACTTCTGATGTCAATTTCCCCCTGTGCTGAGTAGCATGGAAGCGCCCCCCATGATCACGTGCTGCACGTGTTGTGTAGAACACACGAACCCCATCCGTCCCTGGTGTTCGGGCGCATTGGATCCCTCGAAACCCCAAGCCTCCTTCCGAGGTCTTTTGTGTCCAAGCCTTTTCTTCCCATACTTCTTGAACTTCGATACCCTCTATATGACGGATGCCTCAGATCACGTGTAGTCGGGAATCGGCGTGGGTCCGTTCAGACGGGAAGAGCGGTCGGGCGGTGCTCCCAGCACGTCCAGTCCTTGGGAATCACGTCCGATGAATGTACTGAGCACTCGGAGAAGTGGATTTTTCGATGAAAAGATGCATAGACAAGAAGCCAGCCATTCGGCCGATGCTTCGAGATGCCAGCCATTCAGCCGTGCTATTTTCTTTTACACGGCCAAGCCCAGCCCTGACAGCACAATGTTGCGCGAAGCCTGGCGCTTCGTTTCGGATGTTTGAAGCCTTTGGGCAACAAAAACATCCGAAGCCCATCCCTTCAAAACCCTTTGAAGCGCAGCCGGAACATGCGGGTGTTCGTTTCACCCGTACGGAGCGGAGCGGAGTGTTCGCGCATCGGGTGGTGACCGGGTCGTTGGTGACGGCCGTTGGTTGAATAGAGGGGATAGCCCGATAGACTAAATAAGTCATAAGTCTATGGTACCTGCCACTATAATTAGCTGGTAACTTGGTTCCAAAGACGAAACCAGACTAATTCACCTAGAAATCCTGGCTCCTTATACTACAATTGTAGGTTGGGTTTGTCCTATTATCATCTATTATTTGTGTTTGTAACAGGCGGTAGACAAGAACATGGCTATTTTAGAGATTGAAAGGCCTGCAGTTGAACATCATCATCCACTGGGCCCTGGTAATAGGATAGACATGGATAGGCAAATGTTCAGTAAGCCTGAAAAAGGCCTCCAGTCGCAGCTTCGACGCACAATCCTTCCGTTTGGTGACTAGCATGTGTTTGTCATCCAGTTGTAAGAATCATGTATTATAATGTATTATTATATATATACATATGTTTTTGTCATGGCAATTGGCGCCATTCGTGTGTGGAATTGTTGTTGTATTACAGTGCTATGTTGCTATGTTTGTGGCCGGGCACCGCAAAAATGCTGGCGCTGGCAGATCAAACACAGGATCAAAAGCCGTGGCGTAAGAAAAGTATGTCCATGTTGAACTATGATTTCTTTGGGGCTGCTCCTTCCTGTGGTCTTGACAGTAACAGCGCAGAAGACCATTACTATATTGTCAATAAACTGTAGGAAGGTCGCCATGGTTTCTTCTTGTGTGTGAACACACGAATCATGAGTTCTCCAGTGATTGAGTTCTTTGGTCGCTTGTCACGCAGACCCATGCAGACGCAGGTAGGACACATGTGTTCGCCCGTGTTTTCGCTGGTGAATGGTGTCGACACGGGCTCGCCGGTGCCCTGTTCACCAAATGGATATTCTTGCCTCCAGCCGCAAAAGGGCATTGTAAGACCATGAAGAACCTATTGTTTAAAGACTAAGCGTTTGAAAATATGACAACATCATCATTGATACCAGGTCCCAGGGAGCATAAACCACCAAATGTAGGCGATATTTGCGCCACCATGGATCGTTTGGGTGGCGTGTTTTCTTTCAAAAGCTCCGATATTTTTTGGTTACGCGAAATCGCCAGACTCGCCTGACGCGGGGTTTTCTGCCTTTTGCCTGCGGGTTCCGCTTGGAACGTGCGCGGTCGGTGCTGCAAAGAGAAGGAGTTAAAAGGAAAGACGAAGCTGTGACAGACATGTAGCGGCTGGAAGTGCTTCACTTTAGCAGAGTGGTTTGACTGTGACCGATCGCAATTGATGATTTGGGTTTTGTGCGGGAATTGCCAGCGTCACATCAATAATGCTGCATGGATTGTGTGTTCCACCAGGATCGTGTTGACTGATTTGACCGTTGATGAATAAAACCATCCATTTAGTTTGTAAAGCAACTTCATATATGTTTGTTTCCCAGAGGCTCGTGAACCCTCAAACTGCTTCATGTTTGAGGTCCAAAGCCCGCGAACGGGCCCAATGAGCCGAACTTGGGTAAGTGAAATCCACCGTCGACATGACTTCTTCGACCCTTTAGGGCCCCGACAGCTGAGATAGCTTCGGACAGTTCCTCGGACTCTTCAGACACCGAAACGCCTGGTTTCTACCCCCACGGAGTTTCAGCTAGGTAAGCCCCACGGAACGCGTAGGCCGGATGGAGTCGGTGTCATGGCTTGTTCCTTTCCGGGCTGCTGCACGGCTTCAAGGGGGGTCATTTGTCATGACTGTGTTCAGGTGTGTGTGCGCGCGTGTGTGTGTGTGTGGTGGCTAGACCATCAGCTGTTTCCAAATTGATGCAACACACACACACACACAAGAAAACCCACCAGCACATGGCCAGATGAGTCTGTGAAATTCTTGCGATTTCTGTGTCCATCCTGGGTTGTTTCTTTAAACCCGCGCACAATGGTCGAACTAGACATGAGGAACTTCAAGTTGTGGCCGTTTGCTTGGTTTCTTTCCTCGTTTGTCGGCAACTTGGCTCGTCCAGCTCACTTTGTTCGGTTCCCTATTCTGCGATGCTAGGGAAAGCCCCGTGTTGGCAGTTCAAGTGAGGGCATGTGTGGAGCTCGCGATCGACTCTGAATATAATGGTAAGTGCCAGTGCGAGTCGAATCCGTTGAAAGGTTGAAAGGGCAGCCAGCAGTAAGCCATCCATCGCGGAGCTCACTTGGGCCACTATATAGGTGATGCAAGACCTGGTTGTACAACCATTCCATCAAAGTGAACATGACGCGGCCGAGGTCCCTCACCAACAAGCCGGCGCACACCCGAACCTGCGAGGCCTGGCCTTTTCAGTCCAGCCAGAGTACACCACCTGCCTTAACAGTTGCCAACTGGTCATTGGAAATTGGAAAGGGCTTTTGTGCACAAGGCTTACAACATGTTGTGAGGGCGCTTTCTGGTCTTTGTCGGGAATCTTTTGCCCCATATGTTCAACTATACCTTTCTGTGGGTGCAGGTACAGCACTCATACTAAAAGCTTACAAGCACTTACTCAGATGCAGGAGAAGAAAATAACAAATTTACCACATAGCGCTCCCGCTGACATGATCCACATGACCCACATGCAAGCGCTTTCTGGTTCTGCAAGCGAGGAACCACGTGAACTACTGTACCAGCGGCGGTAGCTGACATGCGGCATATACAGCTGTTGCAAATTGGTTAAAAGGTTTGATTTCCAAATGTGTAAAAAATCCAATCCAGTCAGTGTTCTTTCAGGTTTCAGGTTTTGGATTTGGCGAAACATCACCCTGTCCCAGTGGCCGATATGCACCGTAAGCTACCTACAGCTTGCGAACGTATTTGTTTGGCTGTCCGTCAGGGCAGTTGTTGGAGCATGGCCGAGGAGACGCGGGCAAAGCTGTCGTTTGTTTGGGTTCCGATGGGTTTGCTTGGAAAATCTTGGAAAATCATGTTTTGACAATTCACGGCGGGTGTTTATGTTGGTAATTTGGGGTTGTGGCCGTTAACTGTCACAGCGTTTGAACTGTGACGTTTCTGCAGTTTTGGTCTTTACATAGCCTTTGAGTGAGCAGTTTTGTTCAGTATTTCAAGCCGGACAAAGGACCTGAAACTGAGTAGGGCCACGGGTGGTTTTCACACGATCGCTCTTTGAATTCACCAGGATAACTTCCACGCGGACCACCACACGTTGCATCGAGCGAACTACGGTGCGCAATTGGGACCTTGAGGGAGACTCCTTCGTGGGCGATGTGCTCGGCTGGGTTGAAACGCCCGCCCTGGGCACTCGCAGGGCCGGGTTCGGTCCAAACTCCCCCAGCATAGTTCAACGCACCGGCACGGCGACCCGAAGACTTGGTTGGAAGTGCCGATGTGTGCACATGTTGAATAGGGTGGTCGGGAAGAAAAATGGTGGCAAAAGGTCACCTTTTGGTTGGTCAAAACTAAGACGGTTCCGCCGTGGTCAAGTGCTTTATGACCAAAATATAGCAACAACCATGATCGCCAGCAGGTTCCTGAAAAGGTACGTACTTTGGATGGGCCAATTCCTATAATGCTTACTACTATGCTTACTGTGCTTTGGGCAAGTGGATCAGTGTCAGGATAAGATGTGTTACCTGGTTCGCTGCAGTTCTGTTTGAAGAGGGCAGGGAGTAAGACATGAGTGACCTGCAAGACCAGAATCTTGTAGCTAACATAGATGTTGAACCGACCTAGGGCGACACAGTTTTTCTTTGAACATGTTATAACTTGATGTTTAGAAGTCTTTATCCTAGGTCCTAGGTTGACATATGTTGAAACCGAAACATGTCACTCAGAACTGCCTTCCGGGACCGGAGAACGAGCCGGCTCCGCCTCCGACAGGCTCCGCCTTGGGGGTTTTGCCCGGAGCCCAAGTCGAACGGATCGCACCAAAACGCCTCGACGGGGGAGAAACACCACCCAGTGTTTTGGGCGGATGGCACGCGGAAGCTCCGCGTGTGTTTTTGTGGTTGGTTTCCTCTAAGAGAGTCTTAGAAGGACACGGAGAATCTCGAAACTTCAGTGACAGGGTTGGTTCCGGAGAACGGCATTTGTTTTAGTTTTCAGCATCTTCATGTCCTCTGCATTTTAGGTCGGAACTCCCGACCAAAGCCTTGGGAGAGGTGCCTGGTCCATCCGGTCCATAAAATCCCAGAAGGGACACTTTGCATCGGACGGATGTATCGATGGCTGGGTCCAAGTTGAGGGGATGGATGTCCTGCAACTTTGGGGAGGCCTCCAAGCAGACACCAAAGAAGACCCTATCTTGAGGGGCTCAAGCTCGAAAAGAGTCTGGTTGCAAGATTCTGCAAGATGGAACATTTGCTGTTTTAGTTCGATTGGAGATCCACTGCACGAACATTTGCGAGTTAACCATTGAAAGCTGACACGAGCGTCCACATTTCACCGATGAATGCAACTTGCAACTACCATCGCAAGAAGGGCGCTGCAGTGAGGAACGAATCGAATGCCAGGCTGGGCGGGCGCAGCCCCAAATAGTTGGATTTCAGGACCACGCCCCGAACGCTTCATACAGACCATGTGCCCACAAGCAGGTCCCAGAACCGCAGGGCACGGACAGGCGGAAAGCAGCCGGAGCGGGTCACAGAAGGGAGAGACTAGGGTTTCAGATGGCCAAGCAAGCATATAGTGCTTGGTTAAGGACACTACTTCTGACCAAAGTCGCATCAAATGGCTTAGAGTGATTTTAGCACTCACCCCTTGCGGTCGATGAACAACAACTTTTTGGCCTCTGGAAGGTGCCCCAAAACCAACTGGATCCGGATGCACTGGGTTTCTGAGTGGTTGTCCTCTATTCTAGCCACCAGCAAGTATCAACTCACTAAATGTCGTGTTTGCAAGAGGTAGTTTGTCACTCAGTTACATTCACTCTATCAGTAACTTGTGGTGATTGTAAGAGTTGCTTGTATGTAGTCCGATGGTCAAAGTATTTGCTGTTCGTGACCACGTTGGAGGTTGTACACAAAATATGCTTCGACAGGTTCCGCAGTCCCAGCCAGTGTCAAGCAGTAGATGTCCCCTAGTTTTGCCAACTGTGCGCTGAAAATATCCGAATAAAATCATAAAACATAGCTGGTTTCTTTTCGTATTCATTGGGATTTTTGATTGCTTCATGGAACTGTATGATTGGAAGCAGACATTCTGTCTTGTTTAAATGAACAATCTGAATTTACACTGTCTGTAGAATGTTGTAAGTTTGTATGTATTATGTATCGCAGTATCGCGGAACTATATGATTGAACAATTTGTATTGTTTAATGTGGTGGTCAAATGTTTTTATAGAGAATCTGAACCCATGTTGTCTATAGAGTCTTCTACTGTATATTTTACGCGTTTTTTATGATTGGAAGTAGACATTCTTCTGTGTGGTAATCACAGTCATTGGTTTTGATATGTTTTGATGAATTTGAACCTATGTCGTCCGTGGATCATTGTATGTTTCATGGAGGTGTATGATTGGACGTGGACATCCTTTCTTGTGGTAGCCAATGGTTTCGGTGAGAGATTTGAACCCATGTAACCCCTAAAACCCTAAACCCTAAAACCCAAAACCCTAAACCCTAAACCCTAAACCCAAAACCCTAAAACCTCACCCAAGGGACAGGTGCACTGTCGTCGGTGGTTCATTTCAACTTGCACCCAGTGGAGTGTGGGGCTCACCGAATTGGGTAAAACCGGCATGAAACCACACAGGGTTTTGGCTCAGAGAACGGATAACCGGAGTGGTCTGTTGCGTTTCACAAAACAAAAAAACAAACGCATGTATTATTCAATAAAAAAGTATTCAAAAGTGTACTCAAAAAACGCAAAAACATACAGCGTTCCTGTTTTTTGTTGAATACACTCGGACCCGCCTGAGGTTGGACTTCTACTTCGGCACGCAAGGAAGCCAGACCAAGGGCGCTGGAGGCCCCGGTTCACCCTGCGGGTCGACGAAGGGGGCGACATCAGACCTCCAAACTGGGCAATATTGCCGTTGATGATGAATCCATATTGGTCCCAACTAGGGCTGTACATCTCCATATGATTTTTGGGAGTTTTATCAATCAACAGTCTACGAGTCTACATGAAAAGCATTAAAGACATTTTTTCCTACATATATTCCTAGGTGCATGCTTGACTTTGATCCGAAAAGCCTCCTGGTCCGCTGGTCATTTTGATTTCGTGCCAAACTGCAGGAATTCAGTGGACTTGAGGTGTATAACCCTTTGGACAGGCGTTTCTGCTGCGTTGGGTTCCTTTGCTTCCGTTGCAGGGGAATGTCGGAGCGCACCGAAGCGTCCAGGCCTTGCTTACCAACGCTCAGAGGAGGGCGACCAGATTGTGCTGCAGGTCCAGCGTTCCTCGCCTTCTTGGGAAGCTGCAAGAAACCAACGCGATGTTTCGGCGCGCTCGTTTCGCCCTTCGGTGCGTGCGATGTTTCGGCGACCCGGCGACCCGGACGATCATGCGTGCGTGGGGAGTCAGCAGTTGAAGACGAGTGAATCATTATACCTAATGCCTGACGATCATGAGGAGAGTTTTCAGTTTTTTCCTGTTGCGTCTCCGACTTTCGGGAAGCTGCGATCAATCGGAGACAGATCTTCACAGCCCTCTCCATCCTCGTATAAGATCAGAGACACCAAGAGAGGTGAAGTGACCTGAACTAGGACCCGTCACTTGGGGTACCCGGGGGCACCTATATGGGATAGTCTATATAGGGTTCTTCAACCTCTGTTGGCAACCTTGGCCGAAAGCCCTTTGCACGAGTTTGGTGCGGTCATGGCTGTTCTGGTTGTTTCTATTGAATTCTTGTTTCTAGTAGCTTCTTGCTACTATAGTATAGTAAGGCCAGGAGCCCCTAATAGCTTCTTGTTCCTAGTAGTAAGGCCAGGAGCCCCTAGTAGCGTCCTTTCATGTTCCAAGAATGGAATGCGATGTCCAAGAAATCCATGGTCCATTGCCCAGACACGATCTGTCTGGGACTGCCATGTCGGACTGCCGCCCCAGACAGACCCCCCTGGCACCACCTCAACTGATCGGCAGTCCTATGGCAGTCCCAGACAGATCGTGTCTGGGTTGGGGATGTCTCGTCCTTGATTCACGTGCGCGTTGATGAATCTTCCGCAGCTTCGGAGACGGTCCCGTGAATCCCTGAGAACCCATCCCGAGGGGGTGAAGACCATGACAAGCCAGTGGTTTTGGAAGTCCCTGTGAATCTGCCGGAGGGTACCCTGGAAAATGAAGCATAGAAGCTGAAAACCACTGAGTTGTAGAGTAAAATAGTCTTCCAAAAGGTCCAGGCCATCAGGTTCCATGTTAGTCTTCCCGGGTGTAAATCCCTTGACCCATGACTCCAATGTCGAGGTGCTCAAGGGCCACTCTCAGTACCACAGAACCAGCCTCCAAAGATGGAGGAGGCGCGAAGAGCACTTGCTACGACGTATCCAGCATGCGAAGAGCAAGAGTCGGTGGAAAGTGTTGGCAGTGTCATGAATCAGAGGGTCACGAAGCACTGTTGTTTCATCATTTGGGACATGTTGGGACCCTGATTCTTATGTTTAAAAGGCTTTATATGTTTCACTGTAGCAAAATTCAGATGCAGTTTCAATCAGCAAAATTATGGTTTGTTTGCAATGAACTGTGATGTTGTGTTTGGCTTCTGTAAAAGTTCAGAGGGGAGTCGTTTGCAAGGATTCAATACTGCCGTATGACCCTCTTGGTTTGACCATAACTTTGAGGAAGTTGCATATGTTGTTCTACGTCAACTACACATATATTTTGACAGCATGCCGGGTCATGGCATGGCATTTGAGAAGTGCATTTAAGGAGTTATATATAAGGGTATGTTCTATTCAACTTCATGATTTGAAAGGCATTTGGTCAGAGATGCATGCTATGACCATGGGTCGTTTCCCTAACGAAGCTTCGTTCCACCCCACAGCGTCCAGCAGCGAACGCACAGCTCGGTGTCTCTGTGCGTCTGAAGCTCCGACTGTTCATGTCGCACCGTGGTTTTGCTGCACCATGAGCTGAACTACAGCAAAAGCTTTTTGGATTCATGCCTAAAAGTCGCCTACAAGCTACAGTGGTACATTCTGCTTTAGGAAGCAAGGTGAATGAGTATATGTAACAAGTCTGTTAGTTGAGTCTTCGCGCGAATCGAATGATTATACAGCTTCCTATTGAGTCCGCAGGATCTTCATGTCATCAGAGATGCCAAGCTGGTGGTGACCGAGGATATTTCGCCGCGCGACGTGGTGACCGGGTTGATGCCGCGGAAGGACATCCATTGACAAAAACGGCGAGTGAGTTCCTTTCGGGAGAAGACCGAAGATGTGATGGATGAAACACAATGATCTAATGTCTCATTGGGAGGGTGTAAGGCTCCTATGCAGCTGACGGCTTCGTCATATTCATTGCTGACTGGCATAAGCTGGTCGGCCTTAGGGAGTGTCGTGCTGACCAGTAAGCATTGAACACGTGCTTCACCGGATGAAGCAGGGGGGTGGCTTCTTGAATTGGTACGGAGGGCACCCATTTCAACATGAAGCACGAGGATGAGATCTCATGACCATATCTAGATCGAGAGAACCAGAGGTCGTACCTTTCAAAATAGGACCTGACCCGTAAAAAAATGGAAGAAAGTACAGTGTATAGTACACGGGTATACCACCATGTAGCATATACTCCATTCTCTGCGGAACGAACTGAGACAGTAGATATACAGGGAATGGCTCACCAGGGCCCACCATGTTCACCCGCCCGTCGTCCGCCCGCAAAAGGTGGCGTCCTTTTTTGGTGTCCCATGACCGGTCGTGCGACTCTGTGTGTTCTTCCAAAGCTCCTGTCTTTGGTGATGAAGCACAACCGGTGACTCTGACCGGTTGGTGACTCTGACCGGTGACTCTGTGTGTTCAGACTCTGTTGGTGACTCTGACCTGGTCTGGTCTTTGGTGATGTTGGTCCCCACAACTTTTGGTGACTCAAAGTGCGTCAGTGCTTTTTAGTGACTCTGAGCTTAACATAGCTAAACCAGGTAGGGAAAGTGCGTGGTCGATCTTCTGGCAACGGTCTTCTTTTCACAGACTCCGGGGGCCCTCCAGGAGCAGCTGGCAGCCCACCACAGCGATGAGACGGGCGTGGCCGGGCAGGTTAAGGAGACGCGGAAGGACAGACGCGTTCGAATCTCCATGTGAGCAACGTCATAGACCTGTATTTGAAATAATTTAGCTATAGGACTTAAGATGATGAATCTTTAAATATAGGTTCCGGATGGTTTTTGACACCGCTCATATGGGATGATTGAGTTCTTCTGTTGTTCGCAAAGTTCGATCCGCCGAACACAAAGCGGCTGCTTTTCTGCCGCACTTGAACAAAGAAAGGGCTTTGGTTTCACCCTGACTTGGTATACTTCTTGATTTGAGTGCGTGTCTTCGCACCCTCAACCTTCTTTCAAAAACTTGGTACACTTCTCTATTTGTGCACCGGCACTCCCCCTTGGCCAAAATGGCCAACTTCGGTGCCCATCAAAACGGGCCTTCGGCCCAAGCCCTCTCAGTCACGGAGTTCGGAACAAGGTGTAGCCCACCCAGAGGTCATCCAGGTAGCTACTGCGTCGACCCTGGCGCTCATTCACGATCACATACTTCACCTTCTTGATCGTGGTCCAGGCGATCGTCATCCGCCAGGGCAGCCACTCTCTCTCATCCCATAGATGGGGATTCTCAAAGTCGAACAGCTTCTTCCTTTCCTGCGTGTGCTCTCGCACCGCAACTTTTCCCCCATCCGGGAGTTCTTCAATCGTCAGCCATGTGTCCTTGGCTGCCGTCCTCTTTGGTGGTATTCCCATCTTCCTCCTCAGCGCCGCTGTGAAGAAGCCCGGCTGGAACAGCTCATCCCGCAGGAAGTCGAACACCTCCTCTCTCCACAGGGTCCACTTTCCCAGCGTGATCCCGTTTCCGACCGGCGAGACGAAGTTCAGCGCCTCACTCCGCATGCCAATCCTCTGACCGGGCACAGCCCCTTCATCAGCCTTTCCACTTCCAGCCTCAGGCTCGCCTCCAGTCACCTCCTTCTCTTCAGTCTCCGCCGCTACCAAGCCCGATGCCCGTCTAGAAGTCGAGGATGAAGCCCCTCCCTCTCTTTCGTGTCCCACTCCTGGATCCTCCGGCTGGTGGATGCGCCGGTCTGCTCCATTTTCATTGAAGATCACATGGGTGCCGTCAGAATCCATCATAATCCAGGTCCCTCCAAAGTTCCTTCGAGGTCCTCGTCTCTCCATCATTCGGTCCCATGCGGACATCCCCAGGCCCAATGCTGCTCGCCTCTTCTTCTCAGCTTCCGGGTCATAGGGTCCTCGATGCCATAGGTCAGGATCGGGTGCTCGTTGACGTCCAGCTGGTTCAGGTCGGTCTGGGGATAGCGGGCCACTAGCGCCCCCTTCATCTCCGGCCGATGTCTGCCCAGGGTTCGTCTCTGACTCCCGACTCTGTCCTGATGTCACCCTCATAGCCCTCATTGATATACGGCTCACCGGGGTCCTCGTTCCCAACTCCTGCCTTTGATATAGCGGGTCATCAGGATCTGCCCACGGGTAAGCCTCCTCGTGTGCCGAGTATCCAAACCCTCGATTCCCCCGGGCTGTCTCGCTCAAGTCCTCAACGTGGTTCACCCCAACTTCAAGGATCTTCTCCACCACCAGCTGGGCGACCCGATCCCCTTTGTAGACCCGGAGATCTTCATCTGACCAGTTCCTCAAGAGAACCTTCACCTCTCCTCGGAAGTCTCGGTCGACCACCCCGGCTCCTGTCTCTATACCTCGAATGGCCAATGAAGACCGCGGGGCTATTCTTCCTAGGTACCAGCCGGCAGCTCGATGGCAATTCCCGTCTTGATCAAGACGCTCTCGCCAGGTGGGACCAGCGTCTCAATGGTTGAATACAAGTCCAGTCCCGCCGCCTGGTCTGATCCCCTCGTCGGAAGCCGAGCCTCAGGATTGAGCAACTTCACCTTGATCTCTTCTCTTGGTCTGAACCATCGTTGAATGCCCGAAGCTCCTACCCTGAAGGCAATGTCTACCAAAATGGCGATGGCGGCTGTGATCAGGACAATGATCCACCACTCCCCCGTAGTCTCTGCCACCTCCACCTCCGCAGCCTCCACTCTTCCCAACAGACTGGCCGCTGCAACCAGGAGTCCTAGCCCTCTCGTGAAGCCCGGTTCTATCGTCTTGGATAGTTCGATCTTCTTGACCTCGATCGGCTCCTTCTCTGCCCCCTTGAGACCCAAGGCCTTCTTGAACCTCCACAAGGCCGGTCCCGTGAGTTGCTTGGTGAGGCCATCAGCCACGAGGACCTTCCCGGACACGTGATCCAAGGTGATCTCCTTCTCCTTGATCGCCTCGGTGAGTCCAGCTGCTCGAATCCTCAAGTGCCACGATGATGTAGTACCTGTAGCAATCGCTATCGCTGCAGTGGAATCGGAGTGGAACCTCACCCTGGCAGCCTCACCGGTCACCGCCCACCGGTCACCGCCTCGATCAGAGCCGCCGTCGATCTCCCAGCTATCAGCCCCTCCAGCAGCGCCATCAATTCTGCCTCTGCAGTCGACAGGGTGACAAAGGGTTGGCGTGTCGTCTGCCACCCCACTGGTGTCCCTCCAACAAAGACCGCAACGCCAGAGATGTTCTTCAGCTCCGATGACCCATAGGAGGCATCCGTGTAGATGTCAACGTTCTGGATCATGTGCTCCTCACTGCCCTTGATCTCATCTCCGTCCGTCTCAGCGTCAGCAGTCATCACCAGGACCTCTCCAACCGTCTCCCTGAGGTGTGCTCGGAGCTGTCTGCCAATCTTGATCACCTGCTTCGGCCTCTTCGATGCCCACTGGGACATAATCCCACCCCCAGCGACAAGTCAGGGCGCGTTCTCCCAGCCACCCACAGCAACTCTCCAGTTTCTTTCTGTGCTCGAAGGACTTGCTCCGCTGTGGGGTGTTCCTCCTCCTCTGGGGTTCGCACTTGGCCCAAGGCGCTTCGCTCCTTCTCATCGTACTCGTTGAGGAGGTTGGTGATGTACGCCTGCTGGTGGATGACATAGTCCATCCCCCGCTTCTCAATCTCCATCCCCAGGAAACGCACTGGCTCCTGGCCTTCCACCACCCATGAAGGATCGCCAATCTTCCAGTGCTTCCTGACCTGTTCGATGAACCCTTGGATGATCTTCTCTTCACCCACCATCAGCACGTCATCCACGTACGTCGCCAGCGCTCCCTTGGTGATCCACGTCCCCTGAGCCTCCAGCTCTTGGAGCAGCCAGATGTCCGCCTGAGGTGTCGACTGCACCCGCACCTGTCTTCCTTCCTTTTCCCACTTGAAGGCCTTGATCTTCCCATCTCTATGGTCACACCAATCGCGAGGAGACGTCACTAACCCGTACAGGGCTTTCTTGACCAGCCATAGCTCCTTCGAATCTTGAAGCACCCCCGCCTCCTGGAAGATGCGTGGTGGTTGGACCACTACTGTCCCTCTGTCGTGAGCTGCTGGTGCGTTGAGGAACGCCGTCTTGACATCGATGGTGCTGAGAGCCCACTGATTGATCGATGCCAACTTGATCAACATCCTCACTTCAATCCCGCTGGCTCCCGATGCAAAGGTGGACTCGGAGCTCTTGGCATTCATAAAGTTGCCACATGCGACTCCTCGGCACTTGTGTCTCCCAGTTCCCGCCTTCCGGCTGAAAATAGCCTTGACTGCTTCGGACTCCTTGATCAGGGCGGTGTATTCCTCAAGCATCGACGGTCTCCACTCCTTCAAGTTCTTCCGAACCTCGGCCAGTCCTACCATCCTGGTCTGCAAGAACTCTTGTGGATCTCCCGCTGCCTGTTCGGCCTCCGCCAACTGTTGCGCCTCTTCTTGACGCCCTTCTCTCACGGCTTCCTCAACCATCTCCTCGACCTCCGTGGTCAGCATCTTTAAGAACCTCTCGTTCACGATCTCACCCTCATCCTCCTCCAGCAGTCTCAACTCCCGAGCCAGAAGTTGGGCTCCTCGATGTTGAAGCTCCCCCCAGCTCGCGGCCACAGATCCATCTTCTCGACTCGACTGCCACTTCACACACTTCCGAACCCGGCCAGGTCTCGATCCGAGGCTGTTCTGTATCTTCACGATCGTCCACCTCGTGGATGACTCCTGCTTCCCTCTCGGGGACCTCAGCCTCTTCAGGAATCTCCCCGACCTGGATGATGTCTCCTGTGTGGAACAGCTTTCCGGTCTCAATCTCCTGAACCAGGTAGCCCGGAGTCGTCATTGACATCGTGACCGCCGGACATAGCACCCGGACTTGGGTCCGTGTCGTGGAGAGGTACTTCTGCCGGTCGCTGTAGTACTTCCTCTTGGCCCAGACGACCTGTCCGAAGGGGGCCAATTCTCTCCTCTTCCACCCCATCGACTCCAACTGCCGTCTCAGGCGGCCTTCAGCCCAATGCCTTGCCGCATGGCACCAAAAGCTCTCGTTCAAGCCGGCGGCAATGAGAAGCGTTCTTGCACCACGTTTCACCTGGGCAATCGCATTCTCCGCACGACCGTTGCCCTTGAAGTTGTCGCCGTCGTTGAAGGTTCTCATGATGCCCCTGTCATGGCACCACTTCTGGAAGGTCCGGGATTGGTATTCTCCTGCCCGGTCCGAGTGGAGTCGCTTGACCGGAAGCCCCAAAAAGTCCAGCTTCGCCGCCATTCTTCCAACTGCCTCGACGACTGCCGGTCCTCCTCGGTTCTCCAAGATCTCAACCACTAGGATCTGCTTGACCTGGAAGTCGCTTTCCGCCTCAACCTTCTCCAACCAGGCCTCTTCATCATCTAGGCCAGGCCACTCTTCTCTCACGCCCTCGTTCTCCTCTTCCTCGACCACCTTCAACTCTGGGCCGTTCTCCCCCGCTCCAGGCAGCTCCTCCTCTTCATTAATCGGGATCAGTGACTGTCCCTCCTTCGTCACCGGAGCCAGGTAGACGCCCACAAGCAAGTAGCGCCCTTTTCCAAGTTGATCCTCCGCCAACTCGAACGGTCCAGCGGTGTCTATCGACAGAGTGTACGCGTCCGGGTGTGGAATGCGTCTATGAGCCTTACTTCTCGAGGCAGCAACAACGCACGCCTTGCATTCTCTGCTATATGGCAGATGCCCGTTGAGGAGATGCCGCTTCCACTGGTCCAGATCCATTCTCTTCGCCCGAGGAAGTCCATCTCCCAGGGCGTCCCTCACCGCGATCACCAGTGCTGCCTTGAGACCTGGAGCCCAAGATGCCCATGATCTCGACGGGGCAATCCGTGCCTGAATGGAGTCTCCTTGATGCTCTTCTCCCCCATGTCCGGGCCCTCGCAAGCCTTCCAGCTCGAGGAGCTTTGGCATGTTCGTGCCCAGTCTCGTAGGTTTCCTCCAAGCGTGCCCCATGGGACCTTGGTCGAATCTCACCTCGAACAAACCCCACTGCTCCTTCATAGTTCGCCATTCCGGCCAGGACCAGTAGGTCGGGTACCGGGGATGGGTAGCCACCTCGCCGGGCTTCTCATCCATCTCCAAAGCTCCAGCTCCCCCAGTGCCTTTCTTGACTTCCCCCAGATAGGCCTCCGGGTCATCAGGCTGTTCCAAAGCCGTCACCACCATCCTCGGTTGCGCCGCCCTCGAAGCTCTATGATGAAGGTAGACCTGCCTCAGCCAGAGGAGCGTATCGTCCTCCACCTGCTGTTTCAAGACTGGATCCAGACTGGGCAATCCGAATCGCCCGGGACCTTCACGTTCTCGAAGCGGTGGAGGCCCAGGTTGTCGGTATCGTAACCGGCTCATCGTCCTGCAGGGCGGTCCTCGCAGTAGAGCTCGAAGAGTGCCACCGTCGGCGATCTCCAGCAGGTAGGCGAAGACATCGTCCCGGAGAATGTTCATTCTTGGGTCAATCACGGTGTCCACACAAAGCACCGCTCTCCCTTCAGACTCGAGCTCTCGCTGCCAGTACTTCTTCGTGTCTCCACTAAAAAGGTGAACCACCACCTCCCTGGCCTTCCTGACCCTCCGCCGTTCATGTCGATTCCACGGGAGAGCCTCCCCCGTCCATCCAATCTTCGGCAGGATCCTCACTAGTAGCTGAAGAGGGACCTCAGGGAATAGTTCCCGCAGCTCACGAAGATGGTGGATCTCGTCTGTCCCCAACTCCTTCTGCTCTTCCTCTCCCTTCAGCACCGCCAGCCTCGTTCGCTCTCTCACCATGCTCCTCTCTATCTCCATGATGAGCTCTCGTCCGAGGCCCTCGGCAACGGTGGGACACATCCCTTCCACAGCGACATCCAAGAGGGCCCCGCTCGGGTCGGTGAGCGTGAACCGGTCCTTCTCCCAGTAGGCCTCATATCCAAGCGAGATCAGGACCCCCAAGGGCACGATGGTCTGAACCTCATTTTGAGTTAGGAGAGTCTTCGTCCAGGGAATCTGACGAAGGACGACTGACCCTTCTGCGAGTTCCACTCGTACCTCCTGCAGGGCCCTCTGCCACTCCTCTTCCGACTCCGCTCTGCGTAGACAGTGGGTGGCTCCTCCGTCTAGAAGTGCTCGATCATTGGTCTTCACCTCGAGGCTGCTCAGCTTAATGGCCTTGACCCCCGCTCGACCTTCCCCGACGGGCCTCAAGCTCTTCAATAGGGTCGTTGCCTCCGACAGCAGTGCCTGCACCTCGCCAGAACTAGCTGCGGGCTTCTCGATCTTCTTGTCATCAGCGATGGGATCAGGAGGAGTCTGCTGCGGCTCTACGTCCATGTCTTTCTCCCCCTTCTTAGTTCCCGAGCTCCTTTCGATCTCCTTCTTGAAGGTCTTGACCTGCTTATCTCCCTCGTTTTTCATTCTCGTCGCGGGGCACTCCTTCTTGGTGTGCTTTGTCGATGAGCAGCCAAAGCACCGGCCTTTCTTCTCCAGGCTTCCCCATTCATGCTTGAACCGGCATTCTTGCCCCTTCCGGCAGCCATCTTCAGACCCCCAGAACCGGCAAACTCTTTCTTCCGGCTTGCCATCGCCCTTGGACTTCCCGGCCCCCTTCTCACCCTTGTCCTCGAGTGTCGCGGCCATAGCCTTGATCTTCGTAGTCGGTGGTGCTGCCTTGACCTCCGGGATGGGTTTCAGCTCACTGATCGCCAGCGACTCCGCCTCTGCCGTGAGCATGTCCGAGAAGTTCAGGACCGTCTCCAGATTGGGAGTGACGTCGACTCCCAGGGTTGCCCGGGTCGAGGACATCCTGAATGCCACCTGACTCGACGTCCGTGCCACCAGCTCTGACATTTTGTCCAATGCGCCCAGCAACAGCGTGGCATCAGGCGTCGCGATGTCCAGCTCCTGGGCTCGTCTCAGGCTTCTCCTCCAACCTCGAAGTGCTTCCACCACCTCATCCATGGTTTGAGGAGCCTTCGGTTCTACCAGCTGCCTCAACAGCCTCGATCTCTCCGCCAGGCCACCCGGTTGATATCGCCGGAACAGGGCGTACAGCACCTCCACCGAGCTCGTAGTCCGGCTCGCAAGAACTTCGGCCTTGATATTCTGTGGAGCGGCATTGATCAGCATCAGCTGCCCTCGCTGTTCAAGTCGACTCCAAACTCCAGAGCATTCCGGGGGCACTCGAGGCCTGATGTACAGCCGCTGGACAGGTTCAGCTTGGAGCCACTCCCTATAGGCGATCATGGCCAGGTTCATCACCTCCTCCCACCACCTCCAACTCGTTGCACTCAAGTCCTTCATCGTTGGAGTGATGAGCTGAATCCAGTCCCCCAAAATCAGCGACCCAAGATCTCCTTCTCGAAGGTCCTGCAGTGGTGGCAGCTCAACGGACCTGATCACCTCCCCCCAGTTCCCATCCGACGAACTGGTGCCGAGTTGCCGCAGCACTGATGGCGCCGCCTGCTCCAACGGGGAGCCCTTCATCAGCTCTCGCATCCCCTCGCCAGATTCTTGATGTCCTGCTTCATCACCTCGTTGGTGTCCGGGTTGTAGTCCCCACCCTTGAACTCCCCAAGAACCTGGCACTCCGGGTACGTTTGAACTTCGTTGATCTCCGTCTCTCCTCATAGTGGCCTGCTGCTTCGCCCCAGCTCCACCGCCCGGGAACTCCGGAATCTCCACGTCGGCCCATGCCTGACTGGTGTCCCGCTTCCTTCCGCGATCCGGCGTCACTGGAGGCGGTGCCTTCGGCGGAGATGGAGGTGGCGTAGTAGTTGGTGGTTTTGGTCGATCTTCAATGGCCTTGGCCGGCTTGGCTTCCACCGTCCTTCGAAGTTCTGCCACCTCTTTCTTCAAGGCTGCGTTCTGGGCCATCACGGCCTTCAGCAGCTCCTGGATGTCCATCGAGATACCTCGTCCTTCTTCTCCAGGCTCCACCCGTCCAGAAGCCGAGGCGCCCTCGTGGTACCCTGTCTCTGGATCAGCTGCTGGCAGCGCCGTCGGCCGCATCGCCCGGAGCATGACCTCGTTCTGAAGTCGTTCACTCCAGAAGGGGTTGGTCACCACCTTTCCTTGCAGTCCCTTCCCCTTGCCTTCTTTCTCTCGTGCTTCACCTTGTCGAGCCGGGCCGTAGACCACCGGAGGCCCTCTCGGACCGCTGCTTCCGGGCAGCGCCAACGCCAGCGTCGGCTGGTCCTCCAACGCCAAAGGCCCATCCTCCTTGGCGCTGGTCATGGACCCCTCCTCCGGAGTCCCCGTGGACTCTTCCGCCGGCAGCGACCGCGACGCCATGGGGACCAGCACTCAACTCCGTGAGGTGGACTTCCTAGCTCCTATGGCAGGGTCGTTGGGCTCATAACCCGCCAAACACAAAGCGGCTGCTTTTCTGCCGCACTTGAACAAAGAAAGGGCTTTGGTTTCACCCTGACTTGGTATACTTCTTGATTTGAGTGCGTGTCTTCGCACCCTCAACCTTCTTTCAAAAACTTGGTACACTTCTCTATTTGTGCACCGGCACGATCAACCCATGTGGAAGAATACCGCAGATTGAGACTGATATGCAGAAAATCTATCATTTATCCAGCAACCTTCCTCTTTAGGTCATCCATTGAGATGGTTGAGGCCCAACAACCCACTAGCCCACTATAGAGGAGACCTGTTGGAGGGTGCTGGATGGAGATGTTTTCAGAGTTCCTGGTTTCCTGCTCTTGTCCCAGGTTTTTGCGTATGTTCCCTGGTGTATGTCCCAGCTGGTTTGAGGATCCCAGGGGTGTTCTTATTTTTGTTGTGAAGGCCCTTACCAACGTGTTGTGAGATAGTGTGAGTGCCGATTCTCTGCCGGTTTTGTTGGTACCGGAAGGGTCGCCAGTTGAACAAAGGGTCCCCATGAAAAACATGTTTTCATGGTGCAGGGAATGGAAGACATGAACACGGAAATAGCTGCGCTTTCATGGGAATGGAATCAGTTGGTACTTCAGAGATCAAGTGTACAAGACATTCGTTCCCATCGAAAAGTTCTCGGTCGGCCCACATCTCCTTAGTGCTTCGATCCCGGAGATGCCTCACCCCGAAGCCATCCGAAAACCAAAAACACACACATGACACATCATGATACCCACAAAAAGAAATGCTTCAACATGTCCACACCCAACTCCGGGATCGGGTCGCGAAACGCTTCAGTTCACGCTTCATCGCGTGGCTGATCGCGTCGGTGAGGTGTGGATCGCCTTGAAGGGCGGCGTCTACGATGTGAGCGCCTTCCATCGGATCCACCCGGGCGGCAGCCAGATCATCCTGGACCATGCGGGGACCGTGGCTTGGCCGGAGGCAGGAGAGCCCATGCAGGGAGGGCGAAGCAGGAAGCTTGAAACGATGTGAAAAACAAGGACATTCTGTGAGGGCAGTCAGGGTGTTTGAATTGTGGAACATGTGTCCATGGGTATACCTTTAAAATGATGCAACATCCATCATGATCGACCGCCTTCGCCAAGGACGCGACAGACGTTTTCACACAAGTGGGGCATTCGCAGAAAGCGAAGGCGCGAGGGTGTCGCGAAGTCGCGGACTAGGCGAGTTGCTTTCTTCAAGAACCCGTTGTTCAAAAGGTTCGTTTCTGATTTCTGACTCAGATGATTCAGACACAAGGCTCATGAAGGCCCATGAGAATTCTCAAACAAAAAATCGCACCCTCAGCAGTAGTCTGTCTATAATTCAAGGTCAGCGCGCTTGCAACCTTTGAAGTGGTCTTTACTGGTCATAAGGGATTTCCAGACTGCCGGAAGTGTGCCAAGGTTGAACGGGATTGTGCGATGCGCCTGCAGAGGTTGACCAGTGGCCACATGGGCATTGTGTCGATCAAACATAGGGTACACCTCAAACCCCAGCTGCCTAGCATACTAGACCAGTGGAGCAAATGCTGCCATGGGTGCCGGTTATTTCCTTGGGTCTTTGGGCCATAGCCAAGTGCGGCGCAGTTGTAAACCACTTTGTTTTTCCCGCTTCAGCCATGGGGTCTAGCCACATGGTCTGACGGGTGTAAATAAAGTGATCAACCGTGAACGACACTGCGCCACGGTGCCGTGGTGGCACGGTGTAGCTTCATCTCAGGCCATGGCTGCAAAGCGTCTCATCGGCCGCTTAAAGGGCAGGCGCTCAGTGTCGCGAAGTGTCGTGGGGACCGCAGGGTCCGCAGGGTTCGTGGGGACTGCAGGGAGAGCACATCATTACAACTCGTGGGATGAAGATATGGCTGTGGGTTCAGAGTCAAAACTCGGAGACCAACAGGTTGACCCCAGGTAGGTCAAGCTTTTTGATGGACTAGGGGTCCAGGTGTTTGACCATATGTATATGTACACTGCACTGCAGATATACATATAGAACCTGAGTGACCCCTATTTTGGACCACCATCCACCCAAAGTATGTCTTTTGTTCGCAAAACATGAGTCAAGCGATGTGAAGCAGGTTCTGAATTTATACACAAACAAGCTATGTCCAGCAGTCATACAAAAGCAGAAAGCTAAGGATGGACGGTAGAAGGTGTTTTGATTGATACTTCTAGAGAGTATCCACCATGTTTTGGTCTCCAACTTCATTTTTCTTGTCCATTAGAGGACTAGGAGGTGGTGCTGGGCAGCCAAAACTGCCATGAAGGCAGCCACAACTGCCATTCCTGTCGCATCGAGTTTGTGGGAATTGGTATATCCGGGTTCCATGCCTATCAAAGGAATGACCATAATAATAATGAGTTCTATTTTGTTTAAAATGTCGGTGCAAGATGAGTTGCTCAGTGTCAGAGCAACATCCACAACTGTAGGAAATACGTTAGCTTCGTCTGATAGGTTGAACGTCTTAGTCCTCAAGACAACACAACGAACGAGACGGCACGATCTACTCGACACAGTGCTGTGCACAGTGCCTTCGTGGAGAACACTTGAAGCTCAACACGGCTTTCCGTTCGACTCACAGGTGCGGAAGTAGGACTCAGTGCGGCAGTAAGTAGGTGCCCGAAGCTAAGAGCCGAAAAGAGACACCATCGAAGAGCCATAGATGTATTGAACCAGGTTGTTTCTAGCCCATTCATCCGCAACTTGGTGTTCAACAACAAATAAACAAACAAACAAACAACAACTGTTCCTGTTCACGGGTTTGTGGCACCCTTTCTTTTTGGCTACATACATGACTTTTCCAGCACCCCCATCCCCTGTCCCCTCTATGACGGCCCTTTCGCTTCGCCTTTTTTCAGGAGAAGCGAGCGACTGTGAAGATCGAAGGACTCATACGCCATATATATATATATATCCCAGACTGGATTCATGGGACTGGGTTGCATAGATGTCTATTGGTTGGTTGACTGATAGATGGCAACTGGGACTGGGTCGCATGATACTGTCATGGGATACATGGGATACTGTTTGGGACTGATAGATGCATCGAATACTCATGGGACTGGGTTGCATGGATATCTATTGGATGGTTGGTTGGTTGGTTGGTTGGTTGGTTGGTTGGGGATACCCCCAGTCGTGTACAACAGGTACCAAATCGACCCCTCTAATGTTCCCTTTAAAAGGACATCATTGCTGGGTGGTTCGTGCCGCCCAGGGCGCGCCTGACCTGGCCAGTCCTTTGGGCATCGGTAAAAATGGCAGGTCCCAGTGGTCCATTTGGCGTGTGCAGGTATGGGGTATGACCGCATTACCATGCAAGTTAAGAATCACTACACCACTACACCAGACATCCTACACCAGACACCACTGCACTCCACACAGTTTCAGGACTGAGGTCATCGAATTTGTTCTTGAACTGGGCTTCAGTTAAAGTTCAGCACCACTGTTGGGAACCAGCTTCGTTCGTTGCCAACTGTTTGGATGTTTGCCCACCTAGGATTTGTACAGATGGTTTCTTAACTGGATGGGTTATTCCAGGTGTGTCACTTTCCGTGGGTGAACATTCAGAAGTTCCAGTTTGGGCAGCTGGACCCAGTGGTATCCCACCAGAATCAGACGTTTCCCACACTTCCAGGTCCTTGTTGACTTGCTTTATCAAACTCCACAATGACAAGTCCATGAAGAACGTTGATCCTTTGGGGATTCGCATTGCTAACATGGACATGACACATTGGCGGACTTGGGTGAATAATAGACCGTTATAGTAACTACAATCGTTTGTCTAGTCTCAGTCTCTTCATATTGTGTGTTTTCACTAGGCTTCTGCATTTGTGTTGTTTGTTCCTCTTTTGGAAAGCACCTTAGATTCAACACATGTTAAAAACCCGGTGGCTCCGAACGTCTTAACCCTAGGCTCCGTTCATGGCCCATATCCTCAGGTTCGGTGGGCACAAGCCCCGCACCCACCCCAGTGGCACCGAACCTCACGGGGGTTAGCCCCAGGAGCGTAAAACACAGCGCCGTTGCCAGGACGACGCGCGGTCTGTCCAAATCGTTGAATTTCTGCCGAATCACGCTCCGTGAATCCTCCCGAATCCGGAGATCGGAGCCTCATAGTTCCAGGGGTTTGGGTTTCTGGTTTCTCACATCAATCCAATACCGACTTTTGAGGCACCGGAAGCTGGATGAAGATGTCTCAAGGAGCGTGGGGCCGGATCTGATTTCGATGCGTGTGCCGAGACCGACATCGACTGGGGCTCCCACTGCTCTCCGTGGGGCGATTTGCTGTGGGGGGGGTCCATCTGCGAGGATCGAGCGAGGCTCCTGAGCAAGGCTCCTGAAGTCCAAAGAACAACAGATGACCCAACAAGAAAATATAAGTGGGAGTAGTTTTTGTTCCTCATGTGCATCTGTTCAAAAGAAATAGATCCAGTTCAATGGTTGTTTTGTTTGTGCATCGTTTCAGAACGATGTGAACGACATTTGTAGAAGGGGATGAAGACATGAAAACTCGTCATATTTATTCGATGTTTGAAGTGAAAGTGCTGTTGTAACGACAGTTCTTATACCCTTTGTGTGGACGCTTCGGATGACGTGGTATGCCTCTTCTTTTCTAGAACATGTTGGGATGCCCCAAAAGTATCAACCTCTTTACACATGCTGAGCTTTGGGAATAAGCTCAGCAGCACCCAATCTTTTGTATAGACTCAGGCAGTGACTTAGGTGTTGATCTACTTTTGGGTGGAGGCAACCTACAGCGACAGAAACCTGAAGAGCATTGCGACGTCAACCACTAAACCTGTGAAGAAACCACCAAGCATGAAATCCAGGGTGGTGGATGTTGACGCAAAGTTATTTGGCTATTGCCATCCGGTCATCCATTATTGTGGCAGCTTTGCAACTGGTGAAGAGTCAGTGGATCAAAGCTTGTATAAACCCTTGAGGTTGTCCCTCCAGCGTTGACGTCGCCACGGAAAGCTCGTCTTCTCGGCGCGGCTTGGCTTGTGGAGTGACGATGTGATCCAATCATTTGAAGAACAAGTCCAGCTGCAGAGGTGCATCCAAGTGCATCCAAGTGCCATGAGATTGGGGAACCAGGAGCTCACTTGAAGTAGCGGTTCTAGCCGCCAGCATGTCATATAACTAGATGACGTCCTCAGGCTCTACTCCTGGAGTCAGGGAACGCTATCGGCATCTGAAAGGTATCCACTTAGAGACTTGAAGTCATTTGGAACGAGTTGGATTCGTGCCACCCAAAGAGGTGAGTCGGGTCTCGACCCCTCAAGTCAAAGGCCTCCAAGTACCTTCTAGTAGCTTCTTGTTCTTAGTAGCGTTTTTTGCTTGTAGTAGTAAGGCCAGGAGCCCCTAGTAGCGTCCTTTGCTCCTAGTAGTAAGGCCAGGAGCCCCTAGTAGCGAACCTTGTTCCTGGTACGACTGGAGGTGTAGGGCAAGTCAAATGCCTCTGGACAGCCGCGACTGGTCGTCGGCCCCTAGGACGACGCTTCGACGCACCGACGCTCGTTGACCCTCCTGGTCCATGGTAGCTCATAGGATGGGGTTGATCCCTTGGCTGTTTTGACCGTCCTTCTTGAAGCACCTTGGAAATGTGCGACTCTCCCAATCTAGGTGGTGTACCAGGGTCAGGTCTCAGATTATGAGGTCACGGTAGGATCTTGATAAGATCAACCACCCCCAGTAGTTTTTGATGAACCCCTGTTGTGCCTGGAGCCCCTACCTGTGGTGGTCAACAGAGCACGACTCTCCGACAGCTTTTGCTTTCTTTGTTGTGCACGTCCGGACAGAGTGGTCAGACCTGTTCGGACCTTCATGCTTCCGGAGCACCTCCAAATACCCAGCAGCTGCGAACTTGGTGTTTGTAGCCCACGGCCGGTAGATCCAGGGCGGCTTGAGAAGGGACAACTACTAGTTTCTCACCATTCAATGTGTTCTTTCATCAGACGTCCCAAACTTTAACAGTGATTCCTCTTGGAACATCAGTTTCTTTTGAAATCACACCATTTCCCTCTCAGCGGCCAAGGGCGGAAAGCAAGAACGCCCTTCTTGCCGTTTGGGTGTGGGTCCAAAAAGCATCAAGCCAGCTTGAGACGTTTGGATCTAAGGATTCACTTTTGGATGGACCTCTGTTGGTCCTTGATTGAGATCTTGTGAGAATCTGGAATCAAGTTTCTGGCCCGCAGCCATTTGGCAAGTCGCATGAATTCGATTAAGTTGGTGTTCCTCCAGAACTCCTTTGGCAAAATCCCCTGAAGGTTAACCTGTGTTGATGTGGGAAAATGACCAGCAGAGTCCCAAGTCCTGCAGGGGACACCTTCAACTCCATACAAGACATTTGGGTAGGCCATTTCCCAGCTTCAGTAAGCTGAGCAGTTGTTGTTCCTAGCATTTTTGGATTGAGTTGATTCGATGACAAGCCGAAGATACCGGTCTTCAAGGCAGAGAGGCAGGCTGCACGCAGCAGAAAGTTGCTTGAAAGCATGTCTTGGGGAAGATTGTCCGCGGTACTTTGCGAGGATCCATACTCTCCGACTTGTCTTCACCTGGAATAGGATGCCCAATTAGTTGCGCATCAAGAAGATGAATTTCCGCTTTGGGGTCATGTTCCATTCCATGGTGGCTCATGGTGAGTTGGAAGCTAATTCTATGTTGCTTCTGCTTAAGCTCCCGAAGAGCGAGCAACAGACAGCAACAACCCATCCAGCGGTGGTGATCGTTGGACTTGGCTAACCCATTGGTGTGACGAGCGTGAGTTATATAACTTCAAGAAACACACGGATTCTACATTCTAAATGTTGTCTCGCAAAAGAGTGTGTGCTGCGGAAAGCTGTGCAAATGAGTTCAGACACCATCAGGCAAGAACTGGTTGGACGCTGGGGTTCTAGGCTGTGACTTTAAAGTTACACATTTCACAGCTTTGGGCTAGCCTTGATGGGAGGCTTTATTTTTTGAGGCGTGCGAGCAGGTTGGGGGGCTGGTGCGAGCTGCAAACATTCTTGTGGCATGTTGCGACTGAGCCTGAGCGGACTGTTTTGTGAAAGGGGGTGGCAAGTGTAGAGACTCATGAACTTTTGGCAAGCAGCACTGGCCTCCAGCTTGGCATCTACTCGTCAGCTTCGTGAGCCTACCAGTCTTGACCCGAGTTGGAAGAAGGCAAATTGATTGCCCTACCAGTCTCGTCCCTCCCTCTCCAAAGGGTGCTGGGCCGAGGCAGCTGTGACCCTCGTGTCAGATTTCAGCAACACCTGGAATCGTCAAAGTACACCAGAAAATGGTGCAAGCTGAGACTTAAGTTCACACGTCCCTGTAGTCTCAAAGTACCTCAGAAACTAGGCACTATACAAGTGCATGCCTATTTTCAATAGGATCATGATGTCCTGTGTTTTTCTCAATCAGGAGGGTTCAGGTCAGGATCCCAGACGGATTTTAAACGTTGCTTTTTCACATTGAATCCTGATACCCAAGCGATATGCTTCAGAGAGCCTTTGTCAGACCTGCCAAAGACCCCCTGGAAGAAGGAGATTAGACTAAACGATACCAAAACCCATTGGTTGGGGGTCTTCCTTTTTCAACATAGACACACCGGCCAAATGAACCATGCACTGCGAAGAAGGCCCCCTTTCGACTTGAACCTCATTTTTCATCTACTTTGATCCCAAAGAGCTGGATGTATTACGATTTGGATGGGTGAACACGCGGAGTGAATCCCCGACAGCATGGTGAAGATGTTTGGATTCGCTTTCCGGTTCCAAAAGCAAACTTCCCCTAACTGACGGAACGGTTGATCCAAGTGACGGCGTCCCTTCTTCACACTCAGATGGACGCCTTGGCTGCGTGAGCACTTGGCTTCGTGAGCACTGGGCGTCCCAAAACCGACCGCGACCGGCTGCGGTGACACCGTGCAGGCGGCGGAAGGTGTCCCTTCGATGCGGCGACACCGGATACATCAAGGGTGGTCGCCAAAGCTTTTTGGGTTTCCAAGATGTGATATGATATGTGATAGGTTCGACCTTTACTTGGGATGATTGAACCCCACAGTTTGTTCAAGATCAGTTGAAACGTGTTGAAGCAATCAATGCATGCAATGCGTGACGTATTGTCTTTCTCCTTGGTGTGGGAATGGTTGTGCCAGAGAAACATGTGGTAAGGGAAGCAGGATTGAGGAAATCTACATCTTGAACAACCAGGTTGAGTCTTAAGGCCTGGATACGCGGAGGTTTTGAATCAGCGATTTTTTGAATCATATTGAATCACATTGAATTGAGTTTGCTGTCTTTTTTTTGTCATGAGCAAGTGACCCATTGCCCTTCACTTGGTATACTGGTATACTCTAAGAACCTACTCTAAGCCCCGAATTGGTTCATAAAGGATTTACCGATTTACTGCTCATCCCTAAGAGGTGAACCCTTAGACGATTTCTTCGGACAAGGATGCTTTCTTCCTTGACCCTCCTTCCTAGAGGTCCTGGCGTCCAAGCCTCCACCTGAAGCACGGCAGGTGGCGTTGGAAGGCTTACGCGATGCTCCGGAGCTCAATGGGCAGGAGCTCAATCACACCTGGTCTTTCCGAGTGGAAACGAATTGGTAGCTCCTGACCATGCTGTATTCCTCCCCCCAATGGGCAGGGTCACTGGTGACGGGTGACGGGCGCCGCGCTGGCGGGCGCGGCATGGTCCGAGATGGGGAGACGAAGACATGGAGACATCGAAGGTGTTTGGAGGCCTCAGGTGGAGCTGAAACCGTTTCTTTTGGTTTGTGGATGTTTGTGAATTTTGTTGTTGTTTTTCTGACTCAGCCGGCTTGACCATCGACTCTCTATGGCAGAAAGGTGAGCCGGGCTGATTTCATGAGGCTACGGCCAGCAGCAAGTCTTATATAGGTCCTAGACAACCACTTGAAAGTCAATAGTTGATAACAAGTCTAGGTCTCGTTGAGGATTTTTTTTGGACAACGTCCATCACTGGACTCCCGAATCGCCACCTATGCCCATGGTTTCCAGTTTCTTGGTGTAGGATTCGAGCTCTGAGTGATCAACACAGCCCTTTGGACCCCACCGGTGCTGCTCTCAGCACCTAGATCCGTCCGTACGGTCCACCGGCGCGCCTCTCTTTCGGCTCCAGCATCC